GGCTCCGATAGCATTTAGTAGGATATGTCGGGTCTACCTGCCATAAGAAGCACATGTCTTTGCAAGAACCGTCTGCCATGCCGCTGACAGACCCACTGAAGAGGATTGACCGTAGCGTCGGCTTTATATCATGTCGTGTCCATGTCGATGACGTTCCAGACCTGTGCCATGTGCAGTCCGATGAAGCAAAACTAGGGTCAGTCAAAAGAGCGGTCACATTGACACCTGCTGGGAGGGCCAACAAAAGCTGGGCGGTTGAAGGGAGGGCCAACAAAAGCAGAGCAGTTGAGAGGGAAACTTGAAGGTGAAACGTAGCTCAGAAAGTACGGGCCAGCGATGCTTGCGGCAATCCGCAATAAGAAGCACACGTGTTTGCAAGAGCCGTCTGCCATGCCGCTGCCAGACCCACTGGCAGCGGCATAGCAGCGGCGCAATGTAAGTGAGCTTTAAGAAAACACGGCCAATCCATGTACACTATTCGCACAGTTTTTTTCGTGTTGACAGCGCAGCCCGTAGAAGATTCCTCCTTCTGTGCGGGCACAAGGCGCGCACTGATCATTGCCTTGATAACACGGAAACCAATATTTTTAAAGCCTCATTCATGGCAACGATAGCCCCCCCCCCACTTCTTTCCCGAGACAAGTGTGCGCGCGGACGACCCCAGCAGGAAAGGAGATGTTTGCTCCGCCGAAAGAGGGGGCTAGCGCCTCGTTCTCTGTATATATATTCATACATATATACGTTAATGATGACAGCGGTGGCAGCGCCGATGGCGAAAACCAGCCGAGACTGTCCATAGAATTAATATCGCAATAAAAGACATGCATTGACAGAACCACGGCTTTAGAAGCTTCTTCCTAAAAACAGTTTCCTTCATCATTTAGTTAGCGAGAATATTCTGGAAGTGATTCATTCTCGTACGCGAAAAAAAAAAAGATGGCAGATCCCACGTACAGTGGGATTTGATTATATGTGAAGCACGAATGAGAAAGGTTGTTATGTTACTTTAAAATCAGCACAACGTTACAAGATGGAGGTCAATGATGGCGTTCATAACTTCCATTTCATGATTATCATGTTTGGATGTGCGATCGACCTTCGTCAGCTATTCACGTCACGTGATGCCAAATTTAGTATATGTGGAGCTAGCGAAACGGTCGCAAGCTCGTTATGAGTGTGGTATGTTGTTATGTTCTTACATGACACGCGTGTCAGGATTACCATGTTTGAACCAGTCATATATTTCGTCATCCATTGACAACACATAACACCAAATTAGGTATATGTGGAGGTAACAAAACAGCCGCGAGCACATCATGAACAGCCCAATATACTCCAATGTTGCGTTGACGTGGGTGAACGCTGGGCACAGCAACGCTACGTTAGCAAAACTCGAGCACTCTAAAACCTAACGCCATGCGTGACCAGCGTCCGTCGGCGTGGCACGACGGTAACCGGTGCGACATGTGACATGTTGCATTTCGCGCTGATGCGTTAGTTAGACAACACTACGTCTCCCTCTTTTCGTGACGGAGGGATGCCGGACGCGCTCAGACGACACTGCTTCCAGCAGCACCGACAATGACGATCCCCATTTAATTCAACTCATCTGGGTCCCAGCACAGGCAGAAAACTCGGGTAATGATGCCACCCACAGACAAGCGCGAGGACTTGTATGCAGAGCGGTGGGCCAGACTTCGAACCACGGTACCGAAGCAACCAAACCACTCATCACCTTTCACAACATCACGCAGTACTACAAGCTATCAAGACAAACCAGATCACCCCCGCACCCGCAACTAAAGAAATCTCAACAAATTACTTGGCGGCGGCTTCAAAGGAACTCATTCCCTTCCCCATACATATACAGACACGTATACCCAGCCTTATTCACATCTACGTGCACCCTTTGCAAGACACAGACCACAACCTTGGTGTACATCATCTGGCGATGCAGCAAGGACCGTCCCCCAACAAACCTCCTAGGACAGTCGCCTTCAAGTGAGGCCTGGGAGAGAATCCTCAAGACTACAAGCCTAGACACCCAGCTTCCGGTCATCAAACGCGTTGACGAGTTGTCGACCAGGCATGGCCTGACAGCCCTCATCACATAGGAAATCGTCAGCGGCCATAATAAAGTTGTTTACGACTGAAACGCGCATGCATCAAAGCAACACAGTGCGGCGCGTGCCTGCGAGTATAAGGCCGGACCGGCAGCTGGCGTGGCAAAGCCGGCATGACGCTACGAAATGAACGCTGGCAAGCACACGCACCGCGTTAAGTCGAAATGTATTGGCGCCTTGACTATGGCATGTAGTCATGTTCTCACATGATACGCATCTCATGATCGTCATGTTTGCACCAGTCACATACCTTCGTCATCCATTGGGGTCACGTAATACCGAATTCGGTATAAGTGAAGCTAGTGAAACAGCCACCAGCGCATCGTGAGCGTGGCATGTAGTCATGTTGTTACATGACACGTATTTAATGATTGTCATGTTTTCACCAGTCACTGAGCTTCATCATCCATTCATGTACTGTAATACCAAATTTGGAATATGTGACACTGGTGAAACGATTGCGAGCGCATCATGAGCGCGGCATGTAGTCATGTTGTTACATGACACGCATGTCACGATTTTCAAGTGAGGGTCTGTCGCTTGTGTTCGCCATGCAATCATGCTATACCATACCAGTTTTGCAACATGCCCTGTGAACGAAACAACCACAAGATCTGCAGGACCATGAGATGTAAATCATGACATTTATGACATACATGTTATGATTTTCATGTTATGACTAGTCAGATATGTTTTTCGTACAGTCATGATATTCCTTACCTAGTTTGGTATTGATACCATTACTGAAACGGCCAGGAGAGCAAAAATTCGTAGGCGTCTAGATAGATAGATAGATAGATAGATAGATAGATAGATAGATAGATAGATAGATAGATAGATAGATAGATAGATAGATAGATAGATAGATAGATAGATAGATAGATAGATAGATAGATAGATAGATAGATAGATAGATAGAGAGATAGATAGATAGATAGATAGATAGATAGATAGATAGATAGATAGATAGATAGATAGATAGATAGATAGATAGATAGATAGATAGATAGATAGATAGATAGATAGATAGATAGATAGATAGATAGATAGATAGATAGATAGATAGATAGATAGATAGATAGATAGATAGATAGATAGATACGCCCAAAGTCACCGAAGTTCGCTAAGTAATGCTTCGCATTCAAAAAGACCATTCACACGCTGGCCGTGTGTTCGGCTGTCTGCTGCAGTCTCTGCCGCAGCCGGAATCCGCGCCCTCTTGCGGTAGCCAGATGTGCAAGGCAATACTCGCTCGTGTCCCTGCAGGGCGCAGTGATTAGGACGGCCGGAGAGAAACACGCCGCACGCTCGCCATCTCGGAGGCCATGCTCTGAGAGACGCTGTTGTGTAGGGGTTCAGAAATGCTTACCACCTGGGGTCGAACATTTTGCGGAGAAGCAGCAACTGAAAGTTCAACGAAATAGAATGTTTTGCATAAGCATACTTTTAGTTGTAGCGCGCATTACTTTTACCTCTCCTTCTTTTCTGTTTTTCCTTTTCTTTGCTAAGATGCACAAGAGAATATACATTTGGTCTTTAAATACAAGCATGTTAAGAAAAGCGACGCCGGCAGCGTTGGGCCGACGAATGCATAGAATAAATATTAGGATGTCACTAGAAATTGAACAGAACAATTTGGCGGGGCCGTCAAGTATTCTACCACGAACCAACACCAGGTATCGAAACTGCTGTCAAATGTATCTTATGTTGCATATTATTGGGGCAACGTTAGTCGAGGTTGCAACCCTGGTTATTTAATTTTCTAACCGAGCAATAAACATAGTATAAGTACTCCTGGTGATACATGCTTCGCTTCATGTCTGGTTAACGGCAGTTGTCCCCCCCCCCCCTTCCTTATAAAGCCATCTAGTAAAGTAAGCATGGCAATTATTCGCTCCATTCATAAAGCTTTATTCCAGTTTTGCTCGACCGAGGAGGAATACTTTATCAAACGTTAGGGTAAAATATTCACTTCATCACACCATGAAGTGTACTTTATTCTTATAGTACTGGTGTCTGCGGTCTACCATGAGTGCTTACGTGACGTCAGAGCGAAAGTTACTTTAACAGTGAGTGTAGTCTGGCGTTTTTTCAAGCCCACATTATGCCCATGACTACTACAAGCATGAAACGAGGTAGATTGGACAGCTACTCACTGACAGCTCCGCATAACTGCTACTGACAGAACGTGCACAGGTAGAATCAGAAGAAGTATTTATTTATTCATACAAGCGGCGATTTGTTACCATGTCGTAGCAAGATGGGTATTCATGAAAAGGTACAAGCAATAAGCATATAGAAGTTAAAAGCAATCAGAGGCTTTCTTCATAGATCTGTAAAGCATTCTTTAAAGTATCGTAGAAAACGCTGGAAAATCTAAAAGCAGGAACTGATACCAATTTCAAGCTTTTTTAAAGTGTTTTTAAAGACTTTTGGGTGAACATTTAGGTATTCACTACAATACTTTAGAGTAATTCAAACCTCGTGCTTGCACCATTATACCTCGAGTGCTTGCAGAAAAAATAAATTACTGCGACATAACGCCGAACAAAATTATCCAATAGAGACTGATGACCGAGAGTGCCATATATCATCACCTATATGAGCCTCTTCACAATGAGAGGACGGTTTCCTGAAGTCGATAAGACGAAACAAAGCAAGCTGATAGGAGCAGTAGCCCATATCGCGCAACAAAGTTGGCCTTCATGGAATCGGGGGTACGTTTTAAAGAATTATTGCTATCAGCGACATTACTTTGTGCTATCCGCTTAGCTGAAGTCGCATGCTCTATCGCGAACAACCATATAGCCGGCTATTGTCTCAAGTGGCATTGATAAACACTCTCCTGGTGTGATTGCTGGTATAAAAATTGAAATGGTCGGCAAGCAGGTATGTTTAGTGCCAACATCTGTGCTGTCCACGAAAGCAGTAAGGTTTTATTTATTGATGTCTTTCATAATAATTACCTCAACGGTATGTTGTAACGGGTTTGGTTTATATCTCATTCTGTTCATACGTTTTCCCTGTATGTCATGCATGCTTTCTACAGCTACGCCGTTATCTACTAGTGATTGTATAATAATCTATTTTATATTTTGACCTGTCACTGCTCATAATTATGTACCTGTTGTAACTACATCAACAGAAACGGAGTTCCTGCTACTCACTAGTGGTTCACTGAAAAAAATCAACGGAATATACGGGTGGCAACCGCCAACGCATGTGAAATTCAATTGAGCGAATCCCATTTCTCGCCACTGGTCTCCGAAAATACCTCGGAATGGAGAACAAAGCAAAAAGAGGAATGCTGCTCCAAAAACACTTATGGAGCAAATGCTGAATTCAACATAGACTTTGTGCATGATATAGGACATTTTTTTTTTAATTTCTATATCACATTCGCTTGTGCAGCTCAATAGGTCTGCCAGAAATTTTACATTTGCAAAGTTAAATGAGTCTTGAGGTTTATCATGTAACATATTTAGGTACATGATGAAATTTCCACCCATATTGAACAATATCAATAAATAAGGACACAAATACACAGTGAATGTATAAATTTTTCAAAAACATGAAAACATCACTACGGTCATCTTGTTTATCACGGAAATCATGCCACTGACGTCAGAACAAGAGGATGCGCAAACGTTTTTCTTAAAGTTTATATCCATGTAAAAGCCACGCTTGTTTAATATTGTAAAATGTTTTTCGAAGCGAAAATCCCAGCGGAGACTTCCGCAACACACGACTGTCAAATATTGCGTGTTGCAGTTGTGACGTCTTGGAATTTACGCTTTGCGCCAGCATGCTCCTAGACGACTGATTAGTACCGTACGGCATTATAGGTGGTGACACTTGTTTCGTTCAAGCATGTAGTTTCCCAAGACGGATATAAAGGCTTCTTGTATCGTTAGAGTGTTACAAAGGTTCTGCATGAGTAAGGTATTCCTGCCTGAAATAATAACGAAAGTTTTAATTCGAAGCATGTTGTGTAAACTATCTTGAAATTCCGTTCCAGACTGCCAAGAAGTATATGGCGTTGTTAAAAAGACATACAAAGCCAAAATAAAAAGAAAAAGTTAGCGAAAAAAATAGTTTGTCAAGTCAGAAATATGTAAGTCAAGACTGAGTCCAAATATTTATGCATTAGATTAGATAGTTTTGTACAGTATATCGCTGCGTCTTCGCTTGTTGCCGTAGACGTGGTTAGCAATGGGGGGGGGGGGGGGCGCTCCCTACATTACTTTTTTTTGTTTTTTCTCTCTCTCTCTTATTTTTCAAAATCAACATTTGACAGTTGTCATATTCAATTTTTTATTCGGTAACGTACAATACTTCGGTGCAGCAGACAGGGCATTGAATTGTTGCTTTATTTTCTTCATTTCAAGAATACATTATGCCCACACAAACCTGCCTGTTTAACAGAGAGCAACTTCTATTTGAGAATGGTATAAGTCCTTTACTTACGTAAGCTTTATTTCCGTTCCAGCAAATACAATAATGAAAGTCTTCATTTTCTTAGTCCTACTGGCTATCACCACATCTTTCGGTGAGTAGGGAAGCGTAACAGTCTCATACTTTCATACTGGCTCAATGATTATTTGGCGAGTTAGTAAAATAAAACAATGGCAAACATGGAAATGCTGTACTCCAAGGCGCATTATACGTTGTTCGTATTTGGCTATGTTTCACATATGCCCGTTACATCACTCAAGCTCACGTACGTATGTACGGGATCGCTTTCGAAATTGACTCAGGAACAGCGAAGATGCGCGCACGCTCAATTTTTTTGCATTTGTAAAAATATGAATATCAATTCATATCGAATATCAATTCTTTCTGGTAATACATATAAAGTTAGCACTTGCTTCCTCCTTCCAGGCTGTTCGTATATCGTGGTACTGATTGCAGCATTCCAACAGTTTACCAACGTCGACCAACTTAAAATTTCTTTTCTCGTATGTACGCTGCTAAATGTATGCCTCTTAAACAAGCCACCGATGTACGAATATTTTAAAGTACATCTCTTCATAAAATATAATAATAATAATAATAATAATAATAATAATAATAATAATAATAATAATAATCATAATAATAATAATAATAATAATAATAATAATAATAATAATAATAATAATAACTTTATTATTAGTAATAATCAAATTTAGTAATAGTACTAATAATATTATAATAATAGGAATTAGGCAGAATATACTCTTAACAATTACGATATAACAATGGAACGTGCCGTCGGGAAGGTGTTCCGAAATTGTGACTATATTTAGTTCTGTAACGTGGGCCTGTAGCAATATGCGTATTGTCCGTGTGTTGAAATGCAAGTAAGCGACGTTTCTAAGTACTGATTTCCAGAGAAGCCCCATATATATAGATATCAATTCTAAAGTTAGAAAGTATCACTTATATTAGCAAGTTTTATCTGCTTAACAGGGTCGACCGATGAGCATAACTGCAGTAATCGGCTGTTGGCTTTTCTCAGAATAAAGAAAAAGCCACTATACTGATAACTCTCGTGTGTTTTTTAACGCTGTAGAGAATGAAAAGCCTACAGTTTTTCAATCCAGATGAGAGCATCACATCTCACTTCGGTGTCAAAATGAAATAATTAGAGTGTAAATGGGAAACTTGCACTTATGACGTAAATATATCGCACTTTTGCAACCTAGGTGGCATACAGCTGTATATCATCATTTTTTCTCCACTTCTAAAACGCAATCACGTTTACAAAGATCATTCATTACCTCTACTGCATTGGCAAAGAAGAGACATAGCGTTACGTGTTAATACAAAGGTGAAGAAGCACCTTGAAAATACAGCAAAATGCATATTTTGGCCAAAGTTGTTGCATAGATGTCTTGTTAGCAGAAAGATAACTAATGCGATATTTTTGCGCATTATTTCATGTCATCGGCGCCTTCCAGATGCTGCCATTATGTAAGTACAATCTTCGTTCTAGTCACGCTTTTATGCTAACATAGTTATGTTACCGTTTTCTTACTTGAATGTGATTTAAAACGCAGCTTAGTTTGAAACTTTTGTATCTATTACATTTGAAATAAGCTGAGATATCAAATAGTTATTCATTACTTATTTATTGAAACTATAAATGCCAAGAAGGCATTATAGTAGAGATAGTAAGTAAATACAATACGTAGAATATAATGCAAAAAATTTCTTTGTCTAGGGGGCTTATTTTTTTTTTAATTGAACAATGAATGATCGTCTGAGTACTGAAAATTCAAGCGCAACAGTTCATATATTCATGTATGCATACTCGCGTTTGAAGCGTAAAGCGGAGTGGAAAAGAAAGGAGAACAAGAGAAGGGAAAAGGTGTTGTTGATGATGCTGGGGAAGGTAGCGATGATGCAGAGCCTATATCCAAATATGCAACTATGCACGCAAAGCCTTGCGCTCTCTTCGCACTGGCATCCGAAGAGAACGCAGTGCGTTAAGTAGAGATCTTGCGTCCGCGGTGCAAGTTTTGTCAGTTTTGTGCAAGCCTTGAATTTTTGCTTATTCGAAGGCAGGCGACAAGGCTGGACGTAGGGGTTTGCAGGAAAAAATTATTTAAACCCCAAGTAAAAAATGCAAGTGTAATCAACTATGAACAACTGGGGCGCGACAACACCTTTCTGTAATTTACCATATGACATATTGTGCCTGGACTGTGAATATTGTGCAAAAGAAATTTACTATGTACAGGGCACACCTACAAGTGAAGTTAAAATGAAAGTTTACTAGTTCGTGCTAAATCTGAAAAAAAAAAACGTGGTCATCTGTTTGAAACAAGCCTCAAAGACGGTATCCAGACTTGTCAATTTCAGGTAAACAGCCGCCTTATTGTAGGGAATCTTATTTTGAAGCTTCTGACCTTTGGCCATGATAAATATAAGTAACCAAATTTTTATTTTTCATAGAGTCTGCAGATTATTGTTTGCGCTAAATTTTTACAGCGAATACAGATTTTGTTCCGACGAAACTCTTGCTGATACAAATGAATCCTTCCTGAAAATAAATAATCGTCACGCTTTGTTTATTTCAGCCAAGAAGCAGGAGGAATTGAAGGCGAGACGTTAAACCATGGTGAGACTTATTTTTATACGTCTGGTTCTTTTTCATTACATTGGTGCAGTGAGTTGCTTGTTAAGTGTTCAGCTTCAAATGGCAGCTTATTTTGAGCATTAAAGTTTGACGCACTTACAGTCAGACTGAAAAAAAGACCCATTATGCAATTTACTCATTTTTAAAATATAATTTCTTAATACCTCAATTAATACCTAGCTTGGGGTTTCACACGACGGATCAGCTAGTATGTAGTGAAAATGACTCGATGAATAACTTGAAGGCTTGCCCGTCGTACTGGAGCACAGAATCCCTGGGTAGTTGGTTTCAGTCTTTTGTTGTGATGCGCAGTGATCTCTGTCAGAGGTGGGTAGGGCCGCTATAGTGTGAATTGTGCGGAAGGACGGATGATGAGGAGGTAAGGATAATAAAGTGCTGGAAGAGGAACGATAAATCCCAGAAAAAAGGCAAAACCTATATTTAAGGCATCTCAGTTTCAAGGTATCAAGACGTGCTTTGGGTTTCAGTTTTGTAACACTACTTTAGGAGGAATAATCTGAATAGATGTAATAAACTGCGTGGTTTTGTACTGCTTCAAGTGCTTTAATAACGTTAGCTTGATGTGGGTTCCAAGCACAGCATGCGTATTCTAACTTGTGTCGTACACATGTTTGGTAAGCTAACGTTTACTGATGGGTAAGCAAGATGCAAGTGCCGGGCAATAAACAACGCAATCGTCTGCGAACAGACGTATGGTGGATGAGATGTTGTTATCGGTTAACTTTTGCATCCTTAATCAATACGAACCATTCATATATGTATATATTAGAAAACGAAATAGGGCCAAGATGGATCTTTGGGTTACGCCAGACCCAACAGGACTTCTGTTTGAAGAATGATTGTTAGCATGAAACAATTTCTTCCTATTAGTCAAAAATGCACGAAATTGGTCCAAAACCAAAAGGTCAAGGTTTTGTACAGTACGAAAGTTTCAAAAGCAGTTGCTGATGTCACACCGTGTCTAAAGTTTTTTTTTTTTTTGAAATATAAATGCAGAACATCAACTGGAATGGTTAGATCAAGTTCAGAGCTAACGTCATAAACGATCTACGTTTGTTGTGTGTCGCAAAAAAAACCGTGAAATGAATGTTGCTTAGGAGTGGAAAAGTGAACCGATAACAAAAGCTTCACTGCACGTGAGTTTATTATGTGTTCTACTAGTTCTCTAGAAACACTGGTTAGTGACATTGGGTGGTAACGGCGGCTGAAAGATGGTGGACCTGTTTTGGGTACTGGGAGAGTCTTGCCCACACTCCAGTGATCCGGCATTTCTCCCAATCATAATGACCACTGCTAGATATGGAGCAATATGTCGCTGAAGCTTGTCAAGTTTTTTTAGTGATATTAAGGAGATGCCACCAATGCGTGCCGGTGATAAAAGTTTAAGAGAGCAGAAAATTGGGTAGTTCATCAACAGGTTCACCAATAAAAGCGGAAGGAAACCTGCGATTGAGTGCTGCCGCAGCTTTAAAACCAGGTATGCATCGTGCAGAGACAGTATTTGCGAGTGATCAGGATTCAGAAACATTTAAAACTGCTTCGGGTTATCATGAAGCATGTACGGAGGTGTGGATGCAAAAACATCAAGTTTCATTCTGCTAGAAAGTGATTTGAATATATATATACCGCATTGCGTTACTGCTGTCATGCTCACTTTTTGTTGAAACGCTTAGCGATACGGAATGATCTTTTTCCTTGTGTTTTCAAGCATTTTAATGCTGAGTTGAAACAGGTTGATGACTTGTTTACTGTAACAGATATGAGTGCACGTATTCTCCGTTTGAATATAGCTATTTGCAATTTCTTGAAAAATTCCCAGCATACCCACGGATTGAACGCTGATGAGTAGGGTAAAGCGTCCGTCCGTCCGTGTGTCCGCTCATTTGTACATGTGTTCATGCGTCCGATCGCGTTCAAGAATGCAGACGCCTCGCGGGTAACACCAAGGAGACGTAAGCCATGGAAGCCGATTGATTGATATGTTCGAAACCACCTTATGTATATGAGAGACGCCGCATCAGAGGGCACCAGAAATTTCGACCGCCTGGGGTTCTTTAACGTGTGCCCAAATCTGGGCATATGGGCCTACAGCATTGTCGCTTCCATCAAAAGTAGAACCGCCACAGTCGGAATTCAATCACGTGACCTGCAGTCTAGCATCCGAACACCTTAGAAACTAGGCCACCATGGCGGGCCAAGGAAGCCGAGTGCAAGCGTCTTCAACGTACCCGCCACTCTGCTTCGTCCATGCCCCCCCCCCCCCAACAATCCACCTCGTACGCCAACTAGAAGCACTCCTACGCGCACTCCGTCAAAGCGCGCACAGCCTCAAATCGGAGAGTAGTGGCCGAGTAACGCTACCTAGGAAATGAGCCGATAAATGGTCATTCATTTCTTTGACCTTCTTTCTAATCACTTCTCTCTCTAACACGTGATTAGTGAGAAGATTAAACTGACAGGAGATTCGCCCAAAAAAGATACAGCTACGCGGCTCCTCACTCTAATGAGTGAGTGTGTGCTTTAAACGAAGTGTTACGTGATGCACCTTTTAAAGGCTGCGATGTCAGCCACGCATGAAGTAAGGTGCCCTAGTAATGTTCAGCATTACATAACAGCAAGTGACCAGGATGCAGGCTTCATCTCCGAGCCACAGTGTTTCTGCAGAATGTCACATAACTTAATTAACACTGGTATTTTTACAAAAACCTTATTCTAAACTTCACAAACAACCATTCGAAAAATATCCGTTGCAAATACATTCCGATAAGCTGTCATTACAAAGGGGAATGCAAATGCCATACTACGTGTGAGGTACAGCGTCTAGCCCTCTGGTATTTCCAATGAACAATAACGCAGCACTGTTTCGTCATCAATTCACATCACATATAGAGAGTGTACAAAAAAATAGTACAGTAATATTGAAAGAGGCGCCTCTGGCCCATGGGAAAAAAAGAGTTTTGAAAATTGTCCCCACTCTTTACTTCTCAACAGGGCTTGAACCAATCGCAATGAAGAAAGCGGGACAGACAATGAAGTCTCTGGGCAAGATCCTGCAGGGTGATCTGTCATCAAGTACGATAGAAGAAAGGGAAAAACTTTTCAGCGACATCAAAACCCTGATGCTGGCTGGAAAGCCGGAGGAGGGCACAGAGGAATACTTCATAATGCTTGTTGTGAAAGCCATTGCCATTGGAGCACTGACAGGCGGACTCTCAGCTGGTGTGAAGCATCTCGTTGAGCGGAATCAAAAGAAACGTGAAGGTTAATAAAATGAACTGTTTTCATACAATATACGGCCAATGGGGTTTCAGTTTGCGCTTTGTCTTTCTTCTAGACAAGCACAACATAATTAGCACTATTTCAACATCGCAGATGCTGTGGGAAAAATGTCAATGCACCTTTGTGCATATATCTTGTGGCGCTGGTATTGCTGTATACATACGGTATATGTATTTGCGGTTTATTAATATAATATTCTCAGGCAAAGCATGAGTTATATCTTTGTGTTTGTTTATAGTTGACGTTGATTGATTTTATTGGCTCCACTTCCGTGCCACGTAAAGCAGCAACTTCACTCTCTATACAGAGTAACACACTTAAGTAAAATGCGAAAATGTTTTTGACAGGACAGTTCTCGCTGTGTTTGCACTGTTCTTGCAATGTGTTTCTTCGAGGGCTCCATTAAAATTTGTTTTCAAGCCCTTTACGAATATGAAGGTTGTTTATTTATTGAGTTAACGCTCCTTTTTCATTACTACCACACTTTTTATTCCCTCTTTTAACGACGAGCGCACATTGTACAAAGTCGATTCTCCTAACAATGCATGGCAAAACACGATGAGGATATTCTGTCCACGCATGTCAGTGTGAGTCACTCCGTAGGGTCGCTTGGAGTGGTTGCCTAATCTTACAGAAACCACATTTGCTGTTTGAATAAGCGCCGTGGTGATTTTTCTCACGAATCAAGAATGCAATTTAGCAGTGTATGTGGTGGAGCAATTAGGCTAAGGACACAATAAAATATCATAAATATGCTCTACATGGAAGTTTCTAGCATATCCAATTTATTGTAGCGCCCCACCAGTTTTAGTCAGCTGGCCGCGCAGAAAACAGAAGTGAGCCGCGTGGCTCGTGATGCGTGATCCACGAGGAAGGAAAAACGGCGCAGCTCCTGGCCTGGCTGGACACTGCAGCTGCGACTTCGCCTACGCCCGCGTCCCAAATAAAAGCTGCGACCACAGCACGGCCTCATGGGCTGCCGTCTCGTCTCAAGTTCCTCCACATTTGGTTACCTGGACGTAATTGGAACACTCACGCGCACACATATTTCACACCTCAGTAAATGTTAAAGGTAGAATATGCAGCTCCTGGAATTGCCGTCTTCCGCTGCCACGAACTAGCACAGTGTACAAAACAGGATGCAGCTACAGTTAAAGAGCAGGGATGCCGCCGTGTGTTTTCGGCCTCACTGTCAAGCGTAAAAGTACGTCCACGAACAATGATTCTTCGTCTTTGAAGGGCGAACAACTGAAGTATGATGACACTGTTCAACGAGCATGGCCGATGTGCAGCCGTCAACACTGCCAACGAAAGCAATATCACAAGTAATGTCCTCACTGCATAAAATAGTAGTCACTGGAGCAAAGTAGTAGCAAAGAAAGTAAATATTTGTTTTTCAGTGAAACAGTTTATGTTCTGTAACAATATTAAATTTGTATATTCTTTCATGACATGCCCCGACAAGTCCCAGGTATCATACATAAATAGGAATCGGCCAGGCACTCATTACACATGCTTATGAACTTAGCGTTCTACATAAGGTAAACGAAGCCGTAGAGCAGCGTTTTCAAGAAAACTCAAAATTCACAACACATTCTCCAGAAGGCATTGACATCTTGAGACGCTTTTCAGATTACATGTTGAGGTTGGATAGTATATTTACGTTACCCATAGCTATGTTTGCCAAGAAGGACGTGCAACTCGTTTTTAATGAGAATCCTGTGAACTTCAAGGACCTTATTGAGTTTTCCTATCTATCTATCTATCTATCTATCTATCTATCTATCTATCTATCGGTGCTCTCATGATTGGCTCCTTAACTCGGAGTAGATAAAAATTCCTGCGAGAGGGTCAGAGGGTAACAAACAAGTAGAGCTGGTCAAGATATCAATGACCTGAAAATTTCATTGCGCGCGTCGTATAACTCGTTCTGTCATCCACGTGTTTCAATATACCGCCATAAAACGGGTCACGTTATGTGGGTATGTGCCACATGTCATGGAGAGGCTATATTTACTCAAGAACAGCGAGCACAAACATTGGTAATTTGAATGCGAGGGCGTTAAGGAAAAATCACATCGGCGAAGTTGACCCACTGAATTAAAATAATATGTGATAAGCACCAGCAGGATATAAACCCAAGCATTTTGCTTAGGAATAGGGTATGTTCTATCAAAGAGCGCCGCCAGGTCTCCGATCTCCTTTCGAAAAAGACCCTATGCAGGCGTAATCTTCTAGAAGCGTCAATTGTAGTCGCCCTGCTAGCTATCTATTTTTATGAACATCATTTGTACTTCCATGATTCAGGCGTCATGTCAATTTAACATCAGTTGTATATTTAGAGGAGTCATGACATGGTCCCCCAACGATTGATGGATTTCAACGAAAAACAAAGGTAGAGGCTCAAATATGCTTGTACACGTGTGAAAACAAGACTGTGAGAGATAATTTTAGTCCATAATAAGCCGCAGAAGCCATAGGCTGCAAACTCCACCCCCGGCCGGTGACATTCATTTTGTCATGTCGTGCGTGACGTCAAAAGCCGAAACAGCAGTGTCCCCGTCTGCTACCGAACAGCACCTTCCGCACGAGGTCTCTGTTGCGAATGTAGCTTGCCGCGTGGTCAGCACGTGTCGGTGAGTTGCAAGTGTTGCGGTGGGTTACCGTTACCATCACCATATGCAGCGACGATGTTATGTGCGTTGCTCATATCTACTTCGACTTTATCGCAACCAGCTCAAGCGACAATAAAGCGTCGAAGGCGGTGGGAACCAAGATGCCTAATGACCTCGCCGTTGTGGCAGACGTTGCAGACCGCTTTCCGCAATTATAAGTAGCTTTATTTCAAACTTTTCAGGCTGAAGAGCGAGCTATGAATACGAGGGTCCGACGACGCTGCATTCGCGAGCAAGTGTTACTAAGCGCCGTAGAATTGGCAAAACGTGCAGATTTTCGTTGGCTAGCATAAGCTCACACACGAACTTTGATGCTGAACATAATAAATAAGTGGTCGTATGGATTCCGCGAGTTGGGACCGTTGTTTTTCCGTCGGTTCTTGCATGCGGCATATGTAAACATAAGATACAACGAACGCCATGTAAGTGCGGTGCTAGCGTTACTCACGATACAACTTTCGTCAGAATCTTTGCTTGAACTCTGTAGATGGCATCCGGTCCCGGTGAAAAAAAGCAAGTGTGACGATCAACCATGGTACTGCCTGCGAGAAGTTTCAATAAATATTTATCCGTAGTGGCAAACATCATACGCATTGCGCATTCACAGGACACTTTTCAACCTTCGAAATGGCGTGCTGCGAGTACCAGCGATATATATGGGTAACGCGGTGGCATTGTTTCAATCATTTGAAGTAATTTAGATCCAGTGGCGGTTGAACAACACATAAAAAGTTCAATTGCAAGCGCAGCTGACCACGCAACACGATCACCCTCCGAAATGCAGACCGTGCAGCAGCTCGCCCAGGAAGCCATTCGCGACATCACGGCTTGCAAACGCGCCATGTTGGCCAGACTCTCCAGCCGCTTGGTCGTTTATAAAAATATTCGATTATAAATTAACGGCTCGACCAAATTCGCTCAAATTCGACAAGCTGGTCTATGAACGGACAAGAACCATCCCAGACAACAAAATTTATGGCTGAAAATGAGGTGTCATGACCCCTTTAAGCTCCATGAACTGAAGTTTGTGTATGTTGCATTAGCCAAGGCTACCATCCTCTCAAGAACAAAGGCTATGTCTCCCGTCACTGTGATGTTGTTGATAATACCCTTGTTCTTGTTGGCATCATTAGGCCACTGTAAACAACTGGATGTGTATAGAACACAGGCGACTGCTCAATATATATAAGTGCCTAAATTTCTACGTCGACCCACAACGGCCAACTGGAAGTAACCTCTCCTTGATCACCAAGCATAATTTTTCGAGCCTGTTTTAGGGGTCTTACCTTTTAGCATCTAGGTTTGTCTTTTGTGCGTTGCCTATTGTACCAACTATACGCCATGACGATGGCGATGACGCTGATCACAACGAGTAATAAGTGCATTAGCACATGCAGGGTACCCAATGACGATGAAAAATATGAAACAACACTTCGGCCTTGGTTGAAAACAAACGTTAGGCGTGGAAAGCGGTGGCTCAGTTGCAATCGCGATGATGACTGCTACCCTTGAGGCGAGAGCTTGGCAAGGAGCAAAACGGGAAAAATATCAAGTGGACTTGGAGTTCAAGACGCGAAAAGCGGCGGCTCAATGGTAACGCCTACTGGTTTGTGCAGTATATATGACGTCTCGGTGCGCTCTACAATGTATTTCGTATGATTGGAAGGAAGAAAGAACCACCAAGATAATTCACATTAATCTCTTCTTTGCCAACGTCCACGCTAGATCCGAAGAACCATGGGCTCCGCAGTTCATGGACCATAAGGTAGTAACAATGAGCGCAAGACGAAATCCACAGTTTAAAATGACATACCATTTAGGACTATGAAACCTTGTATATAACTGTTTAGCTCGTGCAGCACTATCGCTACCCTTTCGGGTCTCACTTGCCATCACTCTAGCAATAAAACTAGCTTGTTTAAACATTGTACTTTACTGTACACTAATTTGTCACTCACTTATATGCGTGAGTGGGCAATGTTACGGGTGATATATGGCAACACCAAACAATCCCAACTTCGCCCACTCGGCATGGTTCACTTTGCGGAGATGCAATAATTTTCATAGATCTTCCAGAAACTGGAATTACCGACTTCACCATGCTGCTGCCGTATCGAGTAATTTCGAATTTCCGGTTGTGGTGCAAACCTACCTAAACTCTCTTTTATTGTACGACTATTTTAACCAAACCTTAAATGAAGCGACCACTGCCCAGAACATAAAATCAGATGACTGCACACATAAAAATATTGTCCCTCATTGTGACTACAATGAACTAAGTTTGTCTCGTGAGAGGCAGATGCATCCTTTTATTTCTTCAATTAAAATCGCAAAAAA